CTATGGCAGCAGAATCAGTTTTCCCTGGCAAGTCAATAATATCCCTGTGAGTTTTGTGCTTTTGCTCTGAGGGAAAAATAAAAAAATGGGAGGAATAGTTTTATATATTATTATATTTATTTTTCTGTATATTTATTACATTTACATTTATTATATATATTATTATATCTATTTTATATATTATCAGTATTTTATTAAATATTTAATAATGTTTTGTTATATGTTTAATTATATATTTTAATTAATGTATTAATATAGTCTATAGTTTTTCATATTTGTAATATATTTTACTTCGTATACTCTTGTATATATTTTCTTATATTTTATTACATATGTATTATTTAATTTCATTATATATTTACTAATATACTTTATTATATACATTCTATACATTGTTAATATATTTCATTATATATTTACTAATATATTTTAGTATCTATTAATACAGTCTCATATATTTATTTTTCTATATATTTATTACATATTATTCATTATATATATTATTTTTTATATTTATATATTATCTATATTTCATTACATATTTAAATATGTTTCATTTTAGATTTACTAACATATTTTATGAATAATATTTTAATAATAATCTAATAATATAGTAAATTTTTAATTTCATATATAATATATATTGCATAGAGTAAATTTTATTATTAATAATTTACTAATACATTTTATTATATATTTATTAATATCCTAGATTACAGATTTATTATATATTATTATGTATTATTTTATATATATTATTTATATTTGTACTTTATTACTTTAATATTTTTATATATATTTTATTATATTTAATATATTTTCTTTTATTATAATTAATACATTTTCTAATGTACCTGATTATGTATTATCATTATTATTATTGAGTGTTTCTAATGTTTATGTTATTGTATTATTATTGTATTATTATTAGTACTATATATAGATATTATATGCTATGTTATTAATAAATTATATTTATATTTATACAGTATTCTATTTCTATTTAATAGTTTATTCAATTTATTTTTATTATTATTATTTTGCTCCCCAAGTGCTGGTGCCCAGCACTGAAATTTCCCCTCAAGCCCCAACTTTGACCCTGAATTTCCCTGAAAAGCCCAGAGGATTGTCTGGCCGGGATCTGCCAGCTCTGGGTGATTCCTGGGGCTGAATGTGGATGATCCTAAGGAAAATTCCCACTTTTCCATGGACAGGGAAAGGCCTTTCCCAAAGGAATTCAAAGACCTCAAAATGCAGCTCAACCCAACCCAATTTTTATTTTTTGCTGCTTTTCAGAGCAGAGAGACTTTGATTTTTGCCCTGCCCCAAAGGTGAGAGGAGGAAATTGAGGAGTTTATTATTGGTAATTTTATTAAAGTGACAAAAGGGGGGGACAAGTGACAAATGCCTTAAAACCACCCCAGCTGGGGCCAGTTTAACAAAGCTGGAGATAAAGCCAAGCTTTGCAGCCTTCATCCAAGACTTGGTTTCACTGTAGAACTCAAACCAGACTTGAACATTTATCCAGAGAGACACTGCATGCCCAAAAACGCTTTTATTTCTTTTATTTCTTTAATTGTAATTGAAATATTTACAATTTCCAGGAGAATCCAAGCGGGAATTCAGCAGGAGAGAACACAGACCGGCTGTGCAATCAACCAATCAACCAATCAATCAATCATTGTTAATTACAGTCCTTTTTAATGAGCAGAAGCAAGGGCTGGGTTCAGATGTTCATAAATAAATTAAAATAAAGTGAGCACACCATAAAAATGAAGTATGAACACGAGGAAATCCCTAAAATAAATAAATATGGACAGGTGTCTGTTCTTGTACCTCAATCCCGGCCACAAACTTTGGGAATTCTGCATCCAGCAGGGATGGATTGAAAATCCAACAACCCTGGCTCCCCCAGCACCCAGACTGGGTTTTACCACTGCAATTATCCCCTTAATATTTGCTTTTTTGGCACATTTTCATTTAAAAATCAGAATTTTCCAGTTGATCCCAACTTGATGTTTTTATTGCATTAAAGGGGGCTCCTTTTCCAGTTTTTGCCCCACTTCCAGGGGGTTTTTGGAGGGTTTTTCCCACCTCCAGCTCTTCTCCCTGGGATGTTTTCCATTTGTGGAGAAACCCCTGGGGAACCCCAAATTGCACCTGGGCTGCTGTGCCAGAGTCAGGAAATACAATGGAATAAAATGGGATAGGATATGGAAAAGAGAAAATGAATAGGATAGGATAGGATAGAATAGAATAGAATAGAATAGAATAGAATAGAATAGAATAGAATAGAATAGAATAGAATAGAATAGAATAGAACAGAATTCAAATTAGAAATTAAAACCAAAATAGAATTAGAATTAATATAGACTAGAACAAGGCTACCTCAAGAATAAGAATAGGAAATAGAATATATTAAGAAGAGAATAAGAATAAAAATAGATCTAGAATAAGAATAGGAAATAGAATAGAGTAAGAGATTAGAATAAAATAAAGTAGGATAGAAAATAGAATAAAATAGTACAGAAAAAGAATGGAATAGGAATAAAGAATAGAGTAAGAACAGGATAAAGGATGGAATAGTAATGGGTTAAGAATAATAATAGAATAAAGAAAAATAATAGGGATAGGATAGAATAGAATAGAATAGAATAGAATAGAATGAAGAATAAAAGGAAGAATAAGACTTAAAATGGGATAGAAAACAAAAATGAATAGAATAGAATAGAATAGAATAGAATAGAATAGAATAGAATAGAATAGAATAGAATAGAATAGAAGGAAGAATAAAAGGAAGAAAAAGAATTAAAATGGAATAGAAAACAAAAATGAATAGAATAGAATAGAATAGAATAGAATAGAATAGAATAGAATAGAATAGAATAGAATAGAATAGAATAGAATAGAATAGAATAAGAGGAAGGATAAAAGGAAGAATAAGAATTTAAATGGGATAGAAAACAAAGATGAATAGAATAGAATAGAATAGAATAGAATAGAATAGAATAGAATAGAATAGAATAGAATAGAATAGAATAGAATAGAATAGAATAGAGAGGAAGAATAAAAGGAAGAAAAAGAATTAAAATGGGATAGAAAACAAAAATGAATAGAATAGAATAGAATAGAATAGAATAGAATAGAATAGAATAGAATAGAATAGAATAGAATAGGAGGAAGAATAAAAGGAAGAATAAGAATTAAAATGGGATAGAAAACAAAAATGAATAGAATAGAATAGAATAGAATAGAATAGAATAGAATAGAATAGAATAGAATAGAATAGAATAGAATAGAATAGAATAGAATAGAATAGAATAGGAGGAAGAATAAGAACAGATTAGAATAAGAATGAGAATAAGAATAAGAATTAAGGAACAAACTAGCTTAAGGAAAACAATAGAATTAGAACAGAATAAGAAAAGAATAAGAGTAAGCTCAGGATAACTATGGGAAGGAACTCTGGGAATTGTGCAGCATCCTCAGGAATACAGTGACAGTCACACATTGACACTTCCAGGGACACTGGTGGCTGAGCCAGCTCCAGCAGTGCTGGGCTTCCAAGTCCTCATTCCATGCCAGCATCTCTAAAATCCCAATTTTTTCCTCAAAACCCATCAGCTCTGTCATTAATTATCCAGCAATGCTGGCATGGCTGCAGGGGGATCCAGAGGTGCCCAATCAGGGATGTTCCTCTGCCACACCCGGGAGCACCTGGATGTGATCCCAAGGGTTTCACCCAGGGGATGGCACTCGGAGCCCTGCTCCTGGTGGGGTGCTTGTCCCACCCATCCCTCCATCTATCCCAAACCTCCTCCAAGCAGCCTCTGGAAAGGCCCCAAATACAGCCCAGGGCTCCACGGGCACCTCAACCCTCTGGATTTTGGGGAGGTTCTCCATCACCTCCAGGCCTCATCACAGGGCCCACCCTGCCTTGATCCAGTGGACAGAGGAAACCCAAACACAGGCACCGAGGGATCAACCCCAGCACTTCAACATTCATCCAAGCTTTGGCTCACTCTGGAGCCCCAGGGGTGACCTGCAGCTCAAACAAGGTCAAACAGCACTTTCACCACAAAAAGCAGTGAGGAACAAGGCTTGGGAGCACCCTGCCCTGCCTGGCAGGGAAATCCAGGCCCAGAGGGACGTGGGGAATTGGGGCTCTGCTTTTGGGGTGCAGTTTTTCCAAGAGAAGAGCCTGCTTGGCACCACGGGTACATTCAGCTTTTTTCATGGTAGGCTGTTTCAGCAACCAGAGAAATCAAGCACATCCTGCTGATTTTCTTCCACGTATAAATCACAAAGATTTTATAAAAACATTACTAATTGTACCTAAAGTGTGAACTCGAGTAATTTATTTATCACTTTGCCCCAGGCTTAAAAACACAAGTTTCTTTTCTAAACAAAGCCTGATGAAATACAGATTTTTATTTTTCCCCCCCCAGTATTTTTCCTTGTGGGTTTGACACAGGGAACAATCACCCTCCCCCCCAAAAGAAACCTGAAAGCAAACTAGAAACCAGCAGTGGATTTAAGGCAAGCAGATTTGATGTGAAAGGTGAACTAAAACACCTCCTTGGAGGAAAAAAACCCACATGCAGCAAACAACTTGGGTGAGCAAATCACGACCCACGGCAGGGGAAAAAACAAACCCCAAACGCTTTCAACTCAAGTTCGGCTCCCCCTGCACGTTCCCCACTCCGTGTTGTCCCTATTCCCTGGGGAATGCAGGGGCAGGGAGGCCCCTCTGGGTGTTTTTCGGGGTACAGAGTATAAATACAGGAGAGGTCATGCCACGGACTAGATGCAGAGATTGCACACGGTTATTGCATGCGCTGGGACCGGACGCGCCGAGGACGCGGCCCTCGCTCGGAAGCCCGCGGGACGCCCCCAGCTCCTGGAGCCCCGAGCCCACCCCGGCTCCCCCGAGCCCACCCCGGCCCCTGGGCGGCCCCGAGCCCCCGGCAGCCCCCGCTGCCCTCCTGGCAGTCCCGGCCGTGTTATGTGAAGCGGTCGGAATTCATTTTGCGCAGTTTGGGCGGGAGGTTCCCCTCCATCCTGCCGCCGCCCCCCGAGAGCTTCTGCAGCTTGGGGGGCAGCTCTGCCACCGACTGGCTCATGGGATCCGACATCATCTTCGTGGTCTTAGAGCCCAGTTTCTCCTCGGAGTTGCCGGGCACCGAGCTGATGCGCTGGAGTTTCATGGGCAGGTCGCCCATGCTGTAGGCCTTCTCCGAGGTGGTGGAGCTCATCCTGAGCAGTTTTTTTGGGAAGTCGTCCCTCCCGGTGATTTTCTGCAGTTTTGAGGGCAGCTTTGTGCCCACCTCGTCGAGCCCATCCAGGCACTCCACAGAGTTGTTCCTCTCCTTGCTGTTGCTGACGGCGGGCGGGATCAGGGGCGAGGACATGAGGAGCATCTCCTCCTGCTCCTTCACGCTGTAGGGCGGGGTGGGCACCTCGAAGGTGGCGTGGAACTGGGAATAATCCACCTTGAAGAACCCTTCCTCCAAGGAGATCACCGGGAAGAAGCGGTGGCCCCAGAGCACCTCGTCCTCCGTGTAGGATGTCCTGGCCTGGCACGTCATCCCTGCAAGGAGAAGGGAGGAAAAGCTTCCAGCAGTCCCAGGAAATTGGGGATGCAAAGAAATCCTTCAGCAATTCCATGAAATGGATTTTAGGGGTTTAAATGTATTTAAAAATAATAAAAAAAAAAGGATTGGCCTGCCCTTGTTTGGAGGAAATGATGCAGCAGGGGAGGTTTGGTTGGATATTAGGGAAAATTCCTTCATGGAAAGGGTTGTCCAAGGCAGCGGTGGAGTCCCCATCCCTGGAGGGATTTCAAAGCCCTGTGGATGTGGCACCTGGGCAGGTGGGCCAGTGGCATGATGGTTGGACTTGATGGCTTTAAAGGTCCTTTCTAACCCTAAGGATTCCATGATTTTAGGATTCTACAGCTGTTAAATTGTTATTCCCAAGGGGAAAGGATCCAACACCAGTGGATGGGGCAGAACTGAAGAATTCCACCTACATTTACAGACCCTTTCTGAAGGTGCTGCTGCCAAAGGGGCATAAGGGCTACCTGAGAACCCTGGGACTGAAGCAGCAGGAGCTGCAAGGGCAAATGGGACTTGTCAGATCCTAAAGTCTTCCTAAGTCATTCCACATTTCCCTCATATCCATGAACGCACACAAAACCAGCCCCTCATCTGCACACTCCAACCCATCAACAAGTCCCACAAAATACATTTATTCCTCCTCAAAGGCCTCACCAGCAACCTGCTCCCACATCCATCGCTGCCAGGCTGGGATCCAGCTCCAAAAGATTAACAGGGAATAAAATCCATGACTAATAGGCACAACACTGCCCTTCCTCTTCCTCCCACCACGGAGTAAAGTCCCCCCAAGCACCAGACCTGGCCACCCTGGTGACCCCTGGAAATCAGAGGGAGATGATGCTCATGGATTGCTGGAGGCTTCCAGAAGAAATCCTGCTTTTTTTCATCATGATTAGTATTATCATTATTATTATTGTTATTATTTTTAACCACTCTCTGTAGAAATCTGCAAATAGATTTACGCTGCCATTTGCTCCTCACGCAGCCAAGTGGAAATGTGACATTTGGATTTCAGGAAGCTCCATCCACCTCTGCAAACACATCCCCTGCCTGGCTCACCAGGAGTCAGGAGAAAAGGAAAGGAACTTGGGAAGGCACAGGAAAAACAACAGCGGGGCTGCAGCGGGGGGAGTGGGATGGAATGTGACACACGGCCAGGAAAATTCCAGTTTATCCCACCTCATGCTACTGCTGATGGAATCAGGGCTGGTCTTGCTGCCGATCACAAGACAAAACTCTGTTTCCCACTTTATCTCTTGGGAGGAAAATATGAATCCAGGGGTTTTAGCACTGGATGCTGCTCCAACTGCCAGGGAGGCCTCCCATCTGCAGGAGCACAGCCAGAGCCATCCCACAGCCTCACCCAGGACATATTTTGTACTTCCCAGTGAATTTTCACCCAGAGCCCAGGTGCTCCTGTTTATGAAGTGGAGTGGAAGCAAACCCATTCCTAAAGGGCTTAGGAAAAACCAATTCTGAGAGCAATGGCAATTTGAGTGAGTTCCTCTTCCAGCTGTGCCCCTCGCTCTGCAGCTGCTCAGCAGCAGCTTCAGCAGCAGATCCCAGAGCTTCCCCTCCTGAGCCTCAGCCCTGACTCTGACCAGGTCTTCCTTAGGGATTGAACGTGGGATTCCACATCTGCATCCCCATCCACATCTGCATCCCCATCCCTTTCTGCATCTGCATCTCCAGACCTATCTGCAATCCCATCCCCATCCCAATTCCCATTCACACCTATTTTCATATCCACATCTGCATTCCCATCCCTGTCAGCATTCCCATCCCATCCACATCCTCATCCCCTACTGGATCCACATCTCCAGACACAGATCCATCCACACTCACATTCCCATCCAAATTCCCATCCCAGTCTGCATCCACACCCCTGTCAGCATCTGCATTCCCATCCCCATCCCCTTCTGTGTCTGCATCCACATCCACATTCCCATCCCCTTCTGCACCCACATCTCCAGACCCAGATCCACCTGCATTCCCATTCCCATCCCCACCCAAATTCCCATTCAAATCCCAATCCCCATCCTCATCTGCACCAGCATTCCCATCCCCTGTCCCATGTGCATCCCCATTCCCATCCCAGGCAATCCCATAGCAATGTCCTAAGGGCTATTTCCACCTCCTGCCCCATGGTCCTGCCTCTCCCAGCAGGCTTTCCAAGGAGGAATTCTGTACCCACTATTACCATGGAAAAATTCATCAGCAGAATCTCAGGAAAATCAGCCACAAATTCTGTCTCATTCCCACACCAGCTCACTGGAGGGGCAAATATCTGCAGGAATATAATTTGTCTTTCAGATCCATTTATCTCCTTCCCAACAAACCCAAGGGCACAAATTATTTAAGAGCCTCTCAGGGTGAAGAGCAGCAGCCAATATTCCCAACGTTCTTGAGAATACGTGTCAGCCAGCAGACAGTGCTGAGACTTGCTACCAAGGCCAGGACGAGAAATCAATTCCCAGCTTTTCTTCCAGCTCTGCTGCATTTTCCAGCTTTTCCTTTGTGTTCTGTTCTCTCAGCAACGCCTCAGCCTCAGCTCAGAGCTCTCACTGTTGTTCTGCTGTTCCACACTTGTATTCCAGCAACAACAGAACCTCACAACAGTTTGGGTGGGAAGGGATCTTAAAAACAAAACCATCCCATCCCATCCCATCTCATCCCTGGCATGGGCAGGGACACCTTCCACTGTCCCAGGCTGCTCCAAGCCCCAGTGTCCAGCCTGGCCTTGGGCACTGCCAGGGATCCAGGGGCAGCCCCAGCTGCTCTGGCAATCCCAGCCCAGCCAGGAATTCCCAATTCCCAATGTCCCACCCATCCCTGCCCTCTGGCACTGGCAGCCATTCCCTGGCTCCTGTCCCTCCATGCCTTGTCCCCAGTCCCTCTCCAGCTCTCCTGGAGCCCCTTCAGGCCCTGCCAGGGGCTCTGAGCTCTGCCTGGATCCTTCCCCTCTCCAGGGGAGCATTCCCAGCTCTCCCAGCCTGGCTCAGGGAGCAGAGGGGCTCCATCCAAGCCCAAATCCATGAACATTTCCATGTTTTCCCACAGAGAGAGTAGGATCAGTTGCGTGCTCCCCACCTCTGCCAACCCTTCTGCTAACCACCCCAGGATTATTGTCCATGAATTTTCCTCATGGATATCTCTCCCTCCTGGCTCCCAGTGTTCCATTCCTGCTGTGGCCATGGAAGGGTTTTCATTTTTTGAGTTTTTCCCTCAGGAGTTCCCCCTCAGCAGGGCCCGCGGCCTGCGCTGCTCTGAGGCCTCCACCCCGACCACGGGCCTGCTCCCATCTTCCCAAGTTCTCCCCAGGATTAATATCCATTTGCAGGATAAATTCCCAGCTCCAGCTTGGGAGCTGCCTGCAGTGGAATTATTTATTATGGAATTAAGCAGTGTTTGTCAAAGGAAAAGGCTTTGGAGCATTTTGTTCCCTGCTCCCAGCTCAGCCCCCCTCACCGAAGGCTCTGGGAACCAGCAAAGCTCTGCCTGCACACAAATCCCACCTGAGCAGGTACAACAATTCCAGTAGAAATACCCCAAAATAATAAATATTATTATATCAAATAAACCCCTTCTCCATAGCTTCAAAACCAGGGAATGCTTTTTGTGCATGTGGGGAACCCAGAGGAGCTGTGGCTGCCCCATCCCTAAAAGTGTCCAAGGCAGCTTGGACAACCTGGGATGGTGGAAGGTGTCCCAACCATCCAATTAAGGATGATCCTTAATTTCCCTTCCAATCCAAGCCATTCCACGATTCTGTGACTCGCTGTCAGCCCAGCTCATTGCTGCATTCCCAGATTAATGAGGGGGCAGATGGAGGCCAAAAAAAAAAAAGCCGTAAATAAATGCTTCGACTAATTCCACCCTCTAATAATCCTCCAATTACTTCCAAATTTCTAAAGGGCCCAGATGGAGCTGGCTGTTTTCTAGAGCTCATCATAAATTGTCTTGAAAAGAATCCCAGCCCTGTTATTTATCCCATTTGATCCCCGAGGTTGGCCGCTGCCTGGGAAATCACAGATCATTAATCAGCTTTTAACAGCTTCCCCCTGCCCTGGGAGAGGCTGCAGAGGCAATTCTGGCACCCAAAGGTTCCCTGGCTCTTTCCCTCTCCAAAGGAATGCCAGAAATGTCACCTTCAGCCGTTGGAATGCAGTTAGCTGGACACAGGGACACACTGGCTGTCCTTCCCAATGGGGAAAAGTTCATCCTCATCAGTGGGGAAAGGGGGAATTAATTGGGAATTACAGCGACTCAGCAGCACGGGGTCACAAAAGGGCATCTCTGTGTCCTAGCATTGGGAGGAAGAGGAAGGAATTCCAGCAGGAATTCCTGGCCAAAAGGCACAAACATCCTTCTTTTTGTCAGGTTTTTACCTTTTTCCTTAGGAAGAGCTCCTGTCCTGCAGGTTAAAACCCCCAGAGCTGAGCCAGGGGCTCCTCCCTGTGCACTTTGTGGTGATGATCTGCCTTAAACCTGCAGCTTACCTGTAAAACCTCCAAAATACCAGTGAAAAATTAATCACACAGCAAAGTCTGATGAATTCCTGATAACTGAGCTAATTCAGAACTGTAATTTAAGGCCCATGAAGGGAAGAGTAAAGCCTGGTTGGGACTTGATATAGAGACATACAACATTTGCCCTTTGCTCTTGAAGGACTGAGGGAGGACTTGCTGCTGCAGGGAAAAGGATTCCCACAGCAACCTCTCCTCTTCCAGGAGAGCAGGGGAAATGATGGAATCTTGGCATGGTCTGGGTCAGAGGGGAAATCAAGGATCAGAAATCAGGATTCATCCCACCCCTGCCATGGGCAGGGACACCATCCCAGGCTGCTCCAAGCCCCATCCAGCCTGGCCTGTTCCAGGGATGCAGGGGCAGCCACAGCTTCACCCCAAATACAGGGACAGCAGCTGGTTCATCCCATTTATCTGAGGAAAACTGATAAATGGGGTAACTGATA